GGAGAAGGCAAGGGCACCCCACTCCAGTACTCTTGCCTGGAAAATCCCATGGATGGAGGAGCCTGGTAGGCTGCAGTCCATGGGGTCGCAAAGAGTCAGACACGACTGAGCTACTTCACTTTCACTTTTCACTTTCATGCATTGGAGAAGGAAATGGCAACCCACTCCAGTGTTCTTGCCTGGAGAATCCCAGGGATGGGGGAGCCTGGTGGGCTGCCGTCTATGGGGTCGCACAGAGTCGGACACAACTGAAGCAACTTAGCAGCAGCAGCCAAGGTCTATTAATTTTTTGAGTCCAACATTGCTCATCCTCACAATACCTGCTGATAAATTTTGAGATAAAAAGCTGAAAGTCAGTCTATGTGTTATATATTCTATGACAAGGTTATGTTATTTCATTAAATGAAACAAACCTAAAATTCAAACTTAATTTGACTTTCCAAACTATGCAAAATGAAGGGTAAATATTCAGATATTATCTGTATTTCCCTGAGTACCACATGCTATTATAGTTCTTGTTAGACTAATTTTCATACTAGATGGGACCATAACCATCAAGTTCACTGGTACACACTACTGCTAGAATACTGAACTACAGAAAGAATTTCTTCCTTAACTATTGACGTTACAAAGACTATAGATTATAACTTATGCTAGCTAGGGTTGTAGTAAAAAATGATGAATAGAACAGAATCATTTTCACGTTACCACTCTGAAATTTATGAGAAATGTGGTTTAGATTAATTATAATTTCTGAGTTTCCTCACTTAATAATGGGGATAATACTAATCCTCAGTTCACAGTTGTTGAAAATATTTAATAAAATAATAGAACTGGAGTGTTATTAACAGACTATACACTCTATGAATACAATTTTTCCTTCATAATTTAAAATCTTCCAAATGTACCTTCTGTTCTATTTGTCCTGTTAAAGAAAGTTTTTGAACAGGGAAGTATATGGTATTTTATAGTTTCCAAAATCTACAGAGAAAAATGGACTTTTCTTGAGTTAAGTCCTTTTATAATAAACAAGGTGTCTGGTAAGTATCAGAAGAAGTAACTACATGACTCAAGTATAAGGTAAAATGAACAGTCTCCAGTGGTCTGAAACCTTACAGAATGAACGGAGCACCTCAATGAAAAGCACGCTCTCCCCTCTGCTCTCTGTGGGCATGCATCTGTCGGAGAAGCCATGACCAGAAATCAGTCACCTCTCGACATGTTAATTTCAGTCACAGGTTTACTCTCGCCACAAAAATCTGCTTCTAATATTCTGGCATACTGTACAAAATTCTGATTAAAAAGCCACAATTATTTGATTTAAGCTGGCAGGCAAGTCATTTACTTAAAATGACTTCAACTTCACGGCTCACTGCCTAACTTGGCCTGAACTTAATCATGAACTTTAACTTCCATTCAGGAAGAAAAAAAAATTTTATAGAGCTAAATCTAAAGAAATATTAAGCTTCACAAGCCAGACTTCCAAATGTTAAAGGTGAACTAGATGTCTTCCTTACCTATATCTTACAACATCTCTACTATACCTTAAATTCCAACTCTGTCACCCAATATTACTGTCTAATAATTTTCTTTTTATAGAGACCTATAGTTTTTGCTGTGGTAAAGATTTTTCCAATTTAATGTTTTGTGCAACCAAAGATACTTCCTTTCCATGAAGCTCACACACATGTCCCGTAAAATGAACATGTTATTCCCTACAGCCTCTAAAATTTAGACTGTACTGCCTAGACAGATAGCAGTTAAGAAGATGGGTTGAATATCTCAACTCTGCCGACAGCTGTGTTGTTTTGTGCAAGTGATTCACCACTGTAAGCTTCAGTTTCTGATTCATAATTGTGTGGGGTTAATAACAATATTTATTTCATGGGAATATGTACAGTTAAGGCATATAAGAAGCTTGGAAGCACCTGGCTTCTAGCAGTTGCTCAGTGAATTCAATTCTTCAACAGATAATTACTGAACATCTACTAGCTGGCTGGAGAAGGAAATGGCAACCCTCTCCAGTACTCTTGCCTGGAGAAGCCCATAGACAGAGGAGCCTGGCGGCCTACAGTCCACGGGGTCGGAAGGAGTCAGACACGACTGGGCAACTGAGCACATACTAGCCAGCAATGTTTTAGGCACTGTTTGCACTGATTATTAAATGCAATTCTGGCCCTTAGAGAACTTACATTTCTCTTCCGGGAGATAGACAACCAAAAATACATCCTATAGTATGATGGCAGGTAAAAAGAACAGTAACAGAGAGAAACTGAGGAGGAGAGAGAGACATAAGGGGGTAAGGTGTTATTTCACACGCAGTAGTCAGAAAAGACCTCCCTGATGAAGTGACATTTGAACAGAGTCTGAGCTGAGGAAAGAACAGGCCCTGTGCGTCCCACCGTGCCGCTAACATGATGATGATGACTACGATCAGTAACCCGTGTGGGACACCTCCCTCACCCCATACCTTCCCACAGGCTTTGGGAGGCAGAGGAGGAAACGACAGCCAGGGCAGAGTCAGAGATGGGTGGGTGGAACATCGGTTCACTTCATCACCATGAGAAAGTTCGCTTCTCTAACTCAGGCTGTCTAGTTTCGTGTGCCCCTGGGAATAAGAGAGAAATTACCCTGGTCACCGTGTCCTCTACTCAGGCATATGATGCACACGTATATCCTCATGAGTGAGAAAGAAACAAGTGGAGAGAGGCGTAAGGTGCTATAAACGGAAATTATACTGAGACCAAAAGAGCATTCTTTATGTAGGCTAAAAATGAAGTGTGGCAAGATGGAAATTAGATGTTTTATAGCACATTATATGGTCAAAGACATTAACTTCTTATACAAATTAAATCAGGAGATTCCATTTATAAGACGACAAATAACTTTCCAAAAGAAGATACATAACAGATAAGACCAGCATAATAAAATCCATATCAATTTGTTCCCCACTCATGATTGAAAATTATCTGCTCTCATAACCCTGTTTTGTGATTTTCTTTTAAAAGAGTGATATGATTCTTTAAATCAAGTGCATAATAATATTTACCATAAATTGAGGTAATAACTTGCATATTTCAAATATCAGTACTTTAGATCAGGTTAACAGTCAACTAGATTAACTTCAAATTTCTACCTCATAAAACAATCATACGTAACCCCTTAATCTTTTATAGCTTTCAGTATAGTTATTTTCATAACTAAGACTATAAAATGCTGGGATAATTGGCTCCACAGCCAGAGTTGGGAGTCTGAGATGAAGAGAATAATTGGCCATGTAACAGTCCAGAGAATCCACTCCATTTCTCCAGGATCGTTTCATGGAATATTTCATATTATGAAGGATACAGCTTTACTTATATTCCTACCCAAGGCCAGATAAGCATTTTTTTCTGTGTGTACCTCTTTTAGGGCTTTGATCTCTCAATTTAGACTTGGCTAAGCAAGTAGACAATGCAAACACTAGGCTGGCTTTGACATACCGGAATTGAGTTCATACTTTCACATGTACAATTAAGTATACAAAATTCCTGTCACTTAAAGTGCTGGAGCAAGGCAGTGGTGAAGAGCTGTCAAAGGACCCCTAGATTTATGGTTTGAGCAGCTGGGTATTTGGTGATACCATTTACTATAAAGGAAGAACAAATTTTGTAGTTAAATGTGATAAATTCAGTTTTAGGTGAAAAGTAGAAAAATTTTAGATTTGGGAAAGATATATATCTGAGCTGGAAACATAAATTTGCAAGTCACTGATGTGTTAATAGTAAATAAAGCCATGAGAGCAGACAGCAGTTATCAATGTCTTTCATCTTTCATCGATGAAAGATGAAACATTAATAGACCTTTTTTAACTAGAGAAAAAATATGACAACCTGTTCCAGACTAAAGGAGAATTTTTATAGCGTTTTACAAAAGTGAATGGAAAAACACTAACAAAGAATGAGCCAAACTCATAATTCTAGAAAATTATGCAAAAAGGACAACTCTTTAGCCACCAAATTAATGTTTAGCAACTGACTTTAAAATCTTCTGTGAGTGGAATGTTAAACTAAAGAGTGAGTGAGACATATATAAGTACAAACACAGACACTATGTGCCAGGCTAACAAAGGGAAATATAACAACAGTTTTTTAAATTTTTAAAATTTTAGGTGAATTTAGATTACATGCTAGCATTCTTGGGAATAACACTTGCTTCATATTACAAGTCATCCCTGGATATGTAAACTTCAAATCAGCAAATATTAACCTCCCAGGTTTTAGGACTTCCCTATTTCTACACTGTTCTTCATATGAGATGGACCCCTAAGGAAAGGGGCTCCTGTTGACCCCGAATCAATTCCTGGACCATTAAAACTGCTCAGAAGCTAGGCTGGCTCCACTGTTCCCCCCAGTCCAGGTGCCACAGGCTTCACCTTAAAAACACAAGCCTTCCTCAACCCACTGACTACCTCACAGATCACTTAAAGCACATAAATGCAATCTGCTCTGTGATAGATCTTAGAGGTAACAATGACCTAGAACAATCTCTCACCCAGCTACCTGACTCTACAGTGAAGCTATGATTTACTGCCCTTGAGAGGAGTAACACAGCTTTTAAAAATTCCAGTGTCTTACAATATGTCATACACTTAACATCAAAAAGTAAAATTCTAATTAACTCTTAATTGCTGGACATTTTCTTTGACATCTACATCTCAGAATCCTTTATAAACTAAACATTTTAAAGTTTGAACCTTACAGTGTGAAGGAAAGCCTCAAGTCTTTCAAGAAACACTGGAAAGGAAAAAGAAAAAAGACAGGCCATTTGTAACCTAGCAAACACTGAATAAAAAGACAACCCATCTGCCATCTAAGAAAAACCAAGGAAATGCCATGTTTTAACTATATTTGTTTCCAAACTTATACATAACCTAAGAACTTTATTTAGTGTGGGACATAATTCATGAAGCAGTCTTTTCTTATTTCTTTTGTTAAAAAAAACTGAATGTAAGCACCTACCTTAGGAATAGGATTCAGCAGAATTACACCTGACTTCTTAGTGATGACCTGTTTTGTTGTATAGTGATGGTCTATAAGTTGAGGAATATTTGAAAACCCAGTGCCTTCAAAACGATACATATTCTGGAGAAAGAAAAATAAAGAAGAATAATCATGAAGACATTGCTTAAGCAACACTACAACTCATCAATAAAGTTGCATTGAAGAAAATCTATTGTTGTACAACCATGTGAAGATACTTAACACTACTGAATTATAATACACTTAAAAATGGTTAAGACAGTAAAAATAAAGATAAATGATATTGCAACATGCTAAAAACTAACCTTTGCATCAAGAAACTAATTTTCATCAATGATTAAATGTAATTCAGATTGTTAAAAAAAAAAAAAAAAACAGAAGAAAAGAAAAATTTACAGACCTGGAATGCATTTTGCTAAAATAATAACCAAAGGAAATAAAACACAGGATACATTTAAGGAACAAGAAATATGTGTACATATGTTTGCATATGTGTTTCATTTGATAAAGCTTTCAAGATCAAAAATAATGTCAAAAGTCTGCGGAAGTATATCCAATATAATAATATTTTAAGGATACCTCTGATGAACATTTATCTCCCTTTCACCAATACAGTATGAGTTGATTTTTCTGTACTTGGGTTATTGATGTATTATTCTGTCATAAATCCACACAGTCAAAAAAGAAAAAAGGAAAGCCATACAGTCTTTCACATACACTTGATAGAGAAAATGCAGCAAGACAAATCTGTACATATCAGCATAATCACACCTCGCACTTGTGATTTCAACACATTAAGTTAGTAGCATTTTCCCAAACTCTGTCAAGACCTCTTTCCTCTGTCTTCAAAAAGACACATCTGTTAGTAATCTTATGAATGAACTGATGGCAATAAATTTAGCAAAGAAAAAATATCTTATTGGGTCTATTTTTGAATGAAAGGAGCATTACGATACAGTGTCATGTAACAAAGGCTCCCATCTGATTATTCACAAAGAGCTCACATGTAGACATGCATAAATACGGATAAAAATGTGTTCCATTTTTTTAAAATCCTATGGTAAGAAACAAGAAATTTCAGAACTCTCCAAATTTGGGTATTATTTACATTCTTGAATTTTTCCAGTTAAAGGATAAAAAAACTCAGACACAATTTGTACAATATAAAATTCAGTCAGTTCAGTTGCTGAGTTGTGTCTGACTCTTTGCGACCCCGTGAACTCCAGCATGCCAGGCCTCCCTGTCCATCACCAACTACTGGACTTTACTCAAACTTGTGTCCATTGAGTTGGTGATGCCATCCAACCATCCTCTGTCATCCTCTTCTCCCGCCTTTAACCTCTCCCAGAATCAGGGTCTTTACCAAGGAGTCAGTTCTTCGCATCAGGTGGCCAAAGTATTGGAGCTTCAGCTTCACCATCAGTCCTTCCAGTGAATATTCAGGACTGATTTCCTTTAGGATGGACTGGTTGGATCTCCTTGCAGTCCAAGGGACTCTCAAGAGTCTTCTCCAACACCACAGTTCAAAAGCATCAATTCTTCCTTGCTGAGCTCTCTTTATAGTCCAAGTCTCACATCCATACATGACCACTGGAAAAACCATAGCTTTGACTAGACAGACTTTTGTTGGAAAGTAATGTCTCTGCTTTTTAATGTGCTGTCCAAGTTGGTCATGACTTTCTACCAAGGAGCAAGTGTCTTTTAATTTCAAAGCTGCAGTAACCATCTGCAGTGATTTTTAGAGCCCCCAAAATAAAGTCTGTCACTGTATCCCCAGCTATCTGACACGAAGTGATGGGATCAGATGCCATGATTTTAGTTTTCTGGGTATTGAGCTTTAAGCCAACTTTTTCACTCTCCTCTTTCACTTTCATTAAGAGGCTCTTTAGTTCTTCTTCACTTTCTGCCATAAGGTTGGTGTCATCTGCATATCTCAGGTTATTGATATTTCTCCCAGCAATCTTGATTCCAGCTTGTGCTTCATCCAGATAAGCGTTTCTCATGATGTACTCTGCATATAAGTTAAATAAGCAGGGTGACAATATACAGCCTTGATGTACTCCTTTCCCGATTTGGAACCAGTCTGTTGTCCCATGTCCAGTTCTAACTGTTGCTTCCTGACCTGCATACAGATTTCTCAAGAGGCAGGTCAGGTGGTCTGGTATTCCCATCTCTTTAAGAGTTTTCCAAAGTTTGTGGTTATCCATACAGTCAAAGGCTTTGGCATAGTCAATAAAGCAGAAGTAAATGTTTTTCTGAAACTCTCTTGCTTTCTCAATGATCCAACAGATGGTGGCAATTTGATCTCTGATCAATCTGATCTCTGCCTTTTCTAAAACCAGCTTGAAAATCTGGAAGTTCACAGTTCACGTATTGCTGAACCCTGGCTTGGAGAATTTTGAGTATTACTTTACTAGCGTGTGAGATGAGTGTAATTGTGTGGTAGTTTGAGCATTCTTTGGGATTGCCTTTCTTTGGGATTGGAATGAAAACTGACCATTTCCAGTCCTGTGGCCACTGCTAAGTTTTCCAGATTTGCTGGCATATTGAGTGCAGCACTTTCACAGCATCATCTTTCAGGATCTGAAATAGCTCAACTGGAATCCCATCATCTCCACTAGCTTTGTTCATAGTGATGCTTCCTAAGGCCCACTTGACTTCACATTCCAGGACGTCTGGCTCTAGGTAAGTGATGACACCATCATGATTATCTGGATCGTGAAGATCTTTTTTGTACAGTTCTTCTGTGTGTTCTTGCCACCTCTTCTTAATATCTTCTGCTTCTGTTAGGTCCCTACCATTTCTGTCCTTTATTGAGCCCATCTTTTCATGAAATGTTCCCTTGGTATCTCTAATTTTCTTGAAAAGATCTCTAGTCTTTCCCATTCTATTGTTTTCCTCTGTTTCTTTGCACTGATCACTGAAGAAGGCTTTCTTATCTCCTTGCTATTCTTTGGAACTCTGCATTCAAATGGTTGTATCTTTCCTTTTCCCCTTTGCCTTTCGCTTCTCTTCTTTTCACAGCTATTTGTAAGGCCTCCTCAGACAACCATTTTGCCTTTTTGCATTTCTTTTTTTGAGGATGGTCTTGATCACTGCCTCCTGTACAATGTCATGAATCTCCATCCATAGTTCTTCAGGCACTCTATCTATCAGGTCTAACCCCTTGAATCTATTTGTCACTTCCACTCTATAATTGTAGGGGGATTTGATTTAGGTCATAGCTGAATGGTCTAGTGGTTGTCCCTACTTTCTTCAATTTTAATCTGAATTTGGCAATAAGGAGTTCATGACCTCAGCCACAGTCAGCTCCCAGTCTTGTTTTTGCTGACTGTATAGTTTGTCCAACTTTGACTGCAAAGAATATAATCAATCTGATTCCAGTGTTGACCATCTGGTGATGTCCATGTGTAGAGTCTTCTCTTGTCTTGTTGGAAGAGGGTGTTTGCTATGACCAGTGTGTTCTCTTGGCAAAACTCTATTAGCCTTTGCCCTGTTTCATTCTGCACTTCAAGGCCAAATTTGCCTGTTACTCCAGGTGCTTCTTGACTTCCTACTTTTGCATTCCAGTCCCCTATAATGAAAAGGACATCTTTTTTGGGTGTTAGTCCTATAAGGTCTTGTAGGTCTTCATAGAACCGATCAACTTCAGCTTCTTCTGCATTACTGGTTGGGGCATAGACTTGGATTACTGTGATACTGAATGGTTTGCCTTGGAAACGAACAAAGATCATTCTGTTGTTTTTGAGATTGCATCCAAGTACTGCATTTCAGACTCTTTTTTTGACTATGAGTGCTACTCCATTTCTTCTAAGGGATTCTTGCCCACAGTAGTAGATATAGTGGTCATCTGAATTAAACTCACCCATTCCAGTCCATTTTAGTTCGCTGATTCCTAAAATGTCAACATACACTCTTGCCATCTCCTGTTTGACCACTTCCAATTGGCCTTGATTCATGGACCTAACATTCCAGGTCATGGTGGAGACTTCTGACAAAACGTGGTCCACTGAAGAAGGAAATGGCAAACCACTTCAATATTCTGCCTTGAGAACCCCATGAACAGTATGGCAAAAAGATAAGACATTGAAAGATGAACTTCCCAGGTTGGTAGGTGCCCAGTATGCTACTGGAGATCAGTGGAGAAATAACTCCAGAAAGAATGAAGAGACACAGCCAAAGCAAAAACAACACCCAGTTGTGGATGTGACTGGTGATAGAAGCTAAGTCAGAGCCTGTAAAGAGCAATACTGCATAGGATTCTGGAATTTTAGGTCCATGAATCAAGGCAAATTGGAAGTTGTCAAACAAGATGGCAAGATATAAATTTTGTAAATGTTAAGTCAGCTTTTTCACTCTCCTCTTTCACCCCCATTCCTCTTCACTATTTGCCATTAGAGTGATATCATCTACATATCTGAAGTCGTCGATATTTTCCAAGCAATCTTGATTCCGATTTCTGATTCATCGAGCCTGGCATTTCTCATGATGTGCTCTGCATAGAAGTTAAATAAGCAGGGTGACAACATACAGCCTTGACATACTCTGTTCCCAATTTGGATCCAGTCTGTTGTTCTATGTCCAGTTCTAACTGTTGCTTCCTGACCTGCATACAGGTTTCTCAGGAGGCAGGTCAGGTGGTCTGGTATTCCTGCCTCTTTCAGCATTTTCCACAGTTTGTTGTGTGTCAAAGGCTTTCCTGTAGTGACTGAAGCAAAAGCAGATGTTCTTCTGGGATCCCCTTGCTTTCTCTATGATCTAACGAATGCTGGCAATTTGACCTCTGGTTCCTCTGCCTTTTGTAAATGCAGCTTCTACATCTGAAAGTTCTCGGTTCACGCACTACTGAAGCCTATCTTGAAGGATCTGGTGTACAACCTTACTACAATGTGAAATGAGCACAATTATATGGCAATCTGAACATTCTTTGGCATTGCCCTTCTTTGGGATTGGAATGAAAACTGACCACTCCCAGGGCTGTGGTCATTGCTAAGTTTCCCAAATTTGATAACATACTAGATGCAGCACATCAACAGCAACACCTTTCAGGATTTTCAGTCGCCCGACCTGAATTCCGTCACCTCCACTAGCTCTGTTCACAG